AAGACTATAAGTAATGTGGTAACCAATGTTGTATAAAACTTCAGAAGTGAATTGAGAAACAATGTCGAAAACAAAAAAGTTTTGACAGGGCAGGTTTATACTGCATTTAAGATTTGCCGCGCTGTAATGATTAATGAAGATGCCACCATGTCAACAGAAGGGTTTCTCCCATTGATAAAGTTCTGTCTACATTGGGGATTAGGTTGATAATAACTAGACTAGGGGGCTATGCCCGCTGCCCACTACATCGCCAACCCCCCTCTCGCTAGCTGCTTTTGCAACCAGAAAGCCCGTTCGGCCATTTGATCTTTCTTCACTCAGATTTTCTACATGACATCATTCCTGTTCAGGCTGCACATGCTCTTCATCGAAGATTTCCACCCGCCTTCTTGCTAAAACTTGTTCTCTATGCCTTTGCTGCCACATTCGTTGTTGTTCTCTCCACCACTCTCTTCATTCTTCCTCCGTTAAATTAAGATGACAAGTTCTCCCTCTTCTACTCTCCACCCATTCTTCACTCATTACACCCAATAACTTTCTTTCTACAGACATTTTATCGTGCCTCTCAATTCAATAAATGTTCTGCAGTTAGCTGATGTCATTCTGTCCCACCCCAACACAGCCCAGGACAGGCCCCTCAATCTGAATGGTCAGCCAATCCTGCCCACTCGCGCCCTTCAATCGCCAACCATTTCCGCCTCCTCTCCCCCCCTCAACCGCACCCTTCCCGCTTCTGCCCCACCCACCAGTGCTGCCTCTGCAAGCAGCTGCAGGATGCTGAGTGACAGATTGATGGAGGCCCGGTTGATGGGGGAGGAGGGCGCTGGTTCACTGGCTCTGTGATGAATTCTTAGTGACCCAGCTGTGACTCCAGGCCTGCCACCATCTTAGAGGGAAAGGAACGGGTTGCACAGCAGGATGGACAGAGTTCTTGGCTGGGGACTGCTGTACACAGATATGGCTGGGGCCCAAGCAAGGGCTTCTGGTGCAGAACCCAACAAGGAACCGATATACTGGATCGGGGGGCATAGCAGAATCTGCTCCCTCTCCCATCCTGGGGTGTCAGTAGGGAAGGGACCTGCCTCCTGTTCATATGTGGGCACCCAGCCTGTCCCAGGGTTGTGTGAAGAGCTTGTCTTCCCCTGACCAGTCTCCCTCTATGGGTGCGTGGGAGAGAGTCACCACCTTCACACACTGTCTCCTGCGTGGGAGGGGAGAGTCTCTTAGCTTCCCCTGCCCATCCACTCTTCTCAGCTTGGGGATATATGCTGATGACGTGATGACATCATTCTGTCATGCAGCAGGAAAAGCTTTTTATATATACACACACACACGGAGAAAGAGAGAGAGAGAGAGAAAGAGAGAGAGAGAGATTACTCGCTTCACCTTTGAGTGATGTAGTTGCACCATTTTCAGTTTGCAGGGCATACCTGGCCCTGGTGAGGACAGAAAAGGTGTAGTACATGCTGGAAAATTGTGGCAATTTAGTCATCTGCCCTAAACATTTTTTCATAGACAAAAAACAGATTTATGTGATATATTAAATGGATGTAAAAACCCTGGTTCCAATAAATCTTTCACTGGAAAGATAAAAATGAAGAACAAAAATTGCTGAGTTCTGCCTGGGATAACTTTTCCCTCTCTTAACCCATCTAAGACAAACGTCTCAGGCCCAAACAGGAGGCCACTCCCTTATTCACAACTATTAAATGGTTGCGGGTCTCTAGAATGGTACACTAAAAGAACTGTCAGTCCCAGAATACGTTTGAGCACTGTTCTTCGAAAATTTAGTCCACTCAAAACATACCTTCATCTCCCAGCTACTCTCAGCAAGAGAGCAGTCACCCCCTCAGCGATGGATTTATTCCACACATATGTTGTAAATATTTTAGGTAATAGTTACCATCACTCTTTTTAATTAAAATATTTTAAAAAAAAGAAACCAAGCAAAACACCCGCAAACCCACATGCATATTTATATGTAGAAATGCAAGTATTTGTGTCCTTTCTAATAACTGCAGCTTGGAGCGGACATGCATTCCACACACAATTGACTTAAATGCTTCTTTTTTTTTTCTTTACTTTTTTTTTTTCTGGCAATAAAAATATACAGATGTCCTCTTTCAAAAAATTATTTTCCCCTTTCCTGTGTTACAGGAAACCTACCCACACTTTTAAATACAAAGTAGGTATATATAGAAGCACAAATTAACCATCTTGAAAAGTCTGTATTTTCCAACCACAGGAAAACTAAGGAATTACTGTGAAAGTTTACACACCCAGTTACATTGGATTAAAGCAGTATTTTCTCTCCATCTGCCCAGGAAAGCTGGCAAAAAACTGCAGAGGAAAGTAGATAGCCTTTCTGGTTGTTTCTTCACCTGTTGCTGCAGTGGGACTGGGATGTGATTACATTATTCAGTATTCTTCATAAGGACTACTAAAAATGTCAGGCTGAATACAATGACTGATTTGATAAAAGCACGTCTTTTATATATAAATGATGCACCTAATATGAAAAATTAAGTCGGTCTGTCTTCTTTACTATACATTCACCTAGACATTCATTCATTTAGTTGTCTTCCTGTATCAAATCTATTACAGGTAAGCAGAAATATGATGGGGGTTTATGTGGTATTAACTGCTGGAGGGATTTCACAAACCAAAAAGAAAAACTAGCAGAATTCCCTTTAGCAGAAGTGAAGTAGGTCTTCCCATCTGATGTTTTCTTACTTCAGGCACTTTTGCTGGTGCTAGTTGTACGCAACCTTTTGCATTCTATTAACTTACAAAGAACCTTGCTCCCAAACCCATGCTTCTGTGTAGGACACTATGGGTGTGTCTAGACTACAGGGTTTTGTCGACAAAACTATACCTGTGTCTACACTACCACCGAGTTCTGTCGACATAATGTCGACAGAACTCAGCAGTTTTGTCGACGGCGGTAAACCTCATTCTACAAGGAATAAAGCCTTTTGTTGACAGAGTTCTGTCGACAGAAGTCGTTATTGCATCTACACTCTCAAGTCTGGCTGTAGTCTAGACGCTCTTTGTCGACGGAGGCTTTGTCAACAGTATCTGTCGACAAAGCCTCTGTCGACAAAAGCCTGTAGTCTAGATGTACCCCACGACACAACAATGGTAGCCAAGTGCTAATGGCCAAGGTGTGGGCATACTAGGTACAGTACACAATGGTGACTGTAGCAGAAAGGTAACACAAAAAAACACCCAAACAACAAAAAACTTCCACAATTCAGTCACAGGCTAGGAACCCCTTGCCAATTCTGTGGTATCACTAGCACCTGTGACTGGTTTAGGAAGGGACATGGTAGCCGATCAGGTGTGAGCATAGAAATTGTCATTACTGAAGTTATTTTAGAACTCTCTGCATCCCAGCTCTGCACTCATACAACTGCAAGATGTTCCCAGAAGTATCTTCACTCAGATACTTTGCATTTACATATGTAAAAAGCTTTAATGTGTGAATCGAATCACATTGACATGCAAACTGCTATTTCTATATACTACTGCTTCAGCATACTACTTTTTTCCACATGTTCTGAGTTCTCCTTCAGGCAAGTCTGTTTGCAGTACGTTATAGACTCTGTGCACTAAAAAGATAAGTTACTAACTTGCTAAACAGGAAGGAATCCTGTGGCACCTTAAAAACGAACACATGTATTTGGGCATATGCTTTTTAAGGTGCCACAGAACTGCTTGTTGTTTTTACTGAAACAGACTAATACCACTCTGTAACTTGCCTAAATGGTTTGCACAGGATGAATGTAGCAATTGAAATATCATTTTAGAGGAGAGCAGAAAACCCCTCACCATAAACTTTTCATTTAATAACTGATTTAAACTATAAAGACAAGTGTTCATTTTCTTATCTAGCCTCCATCTTTATTAACAATCAGACTCTGTTAGAATAAAGGCAGTTGGTGAGACTTAAGGTTGTGTGAGACACACTTTGATCTGCACCCTGATGAGTGAACATTCCCCTTTGCTGCTAGCCCAACTAATGAAGGGATAGAATTAGCTTTTATCCCTGGCATTTTCTTTAGCAAAAAAACATGCGCTAATCAGCTGTCCTCACTAATCAGTGGTCTGGCTAATGACCTTTTGCCTTAAAACACTAAAATTTCTGAATTATGTGGTGGGGGGGAGAACACAGACTGGCCCCTCTTTGTGGGTCTTAGCATGTCATCTGGAACTAGAGACTGGAAGGTTAAATGGCAAATCTGTATCCTGACAAGGTGATAAATCTATAATCAAAAGGCACTAGTCTTGACACCTCAAGATGTTCATTACTACGCAACTAAATGTTTTTTTTAAACTAGAAGCAGATGAAAAAAATTGCTTAACTCCCTCATATTTTGCCTGTGGAGAAATCCATTCCACATCTGTGTTTAAGTGTCAGTTAATTTCTTACTTTTTATTAATGCCTGAGCAGGACTTCAGAAGTTGAAACCATTCACTTTTTTCCAGTAAATCAGAGGGACTGTAGCTGGGGAGAAAATGACAAATCAAAACAAAAAAAAAAAATATCTCTTTTCAAAAGGTGTGTTCCCGCCTTTCTGTAGGTTGTAATTAAAATAACTTTCAAACAATTGTTTTAAAGCCTATTTTCTTTTTTCTCTCTGCACTTCTTAAATGAGGCTTTTTTTCCCCCTTGTGTTGCTAGGTAGGTGGAGCAAATATAATACCTGATGATTCGTGAAGATTAGCAACATATGATACATGCCATACTGAAGTCTATTTTGCAGAGGCCTATGTTAGAGATAGGTAACATATGTCAGAGATACAATGCAACTGTTCACTACTTTGGTTCCCTACATAAATTAAAAGAATAAATATTCTTATATAATCGTAGACATATCCAGGCAAAATTATTCATCCTGAGAGAGACAAAAAGCACCAACACAAAATGCAATTAAGTACAACAGCTTCAGTATCCTTCCAATCTTGATTACAGAAATGAACTTGCATTAAATACTCACGATAATGAGGATCCATGTAACCATTCCTGGGGTCCATTGCGAAAACCGTCCCACGATAAGGTACAGAAGGCTCAGAAAGATGCGATATAGATCCATGGATCTCCTTCTTTATTAATGAGGCCCTTTCCTCACTAGATGTTGAAGGCTCTTCACTGATTTTACTGAGGCCTTGCCCACCTTGTGGCTGCATTGTGATTGCGTTTCTTCTCTCTCTGTGATAGGTCTGTCCAGGACTTTCATCCTCTGGAGAAAAAAAAAAGAAAAAGAAGAAGAAAAAGGAGAGAGACTTTTAGACCACTTATAGCAAAAAAAAAAAAAACCCTTTCCCCCCTTTCAAAGCTGCAATGTAAGTTTGTGACAGTAGGTGCACGTGTGGTTATGAAAGATGTTCTGGGATATGAGCTGAAAAAACTAGCCCACTCAGACCAAGTGGCGGTTGAGCAGTAGATCATCATCACCCATTCACTGATGCAATCACCAGTGGGGCTATTAATCCTAAAAGAACAGACACAGACTAGCTGTTTTCTTGCCTCTGGGACAAATAGGCTAGAATTTTTGTCCGCTTGACTTGGAGGAAAAAAATAATTTGTCACAAACAGGAGAAGATGAACCCTACTAGCTGAGACTAAATCAAGTCTAGCCACCCACTGCTGCTTTGTATTTGCCACTGTGCTGCTCCATCCCCCAAAAGATGCACCGTTAAAAGACAAGAGCCAGGAGCAATGGAAAAGGTCCCTCCTTATTAAACTAAGGTAGGTGACAGTATAATGCCTTTACCCTGTTCTAGTTACTCAGCAAGCACAAGACATGAGCAGAGAAGCCACCTGCTGTAATAGTGTCACCCACATGTGTACAGATTTACAGATTCTGAGGTTAACACTTTACAGCACTGAGCTGAACATCTTTCACACACAAATACATAAAAAAAATGGTTCGCACATATCTGTATGCGACCAATATAAGTGAAATTAAACTTCCCTGCATGGAACCCAAATAACTGGATTTTCTGGGGCTGACATGCAAAGGAATTAGAAAGGTGAATTCGAACCCCCAACCTTGGGCCAGTGCCTAGTCCTGAAGAATAGGCCTTGTGGTTGCTTCTCCAGGAGATGGGCTGAAATTGCTGTAACAGCCCACTCTGCACCACCTGGGTGTACTGTTATGGACACAGAATGCATGTAATCATTTATAGATTCCTTTTGGCCAGTCTGGCTCTATGCCACCTTCTGACAGCCTTTAACCTGATGTAAAGGGGAGTTCAAAGGACCTATCCACTGATGGCTCCCACCCAAAGCCCTACCCTATATGCATTAGATACACATATCTAAAGAGATGCAAGCTCTACAGGTGTTCATCTGTTAGCCACACACTTTCAGATACAATTCACATGAGACACGACTGCCAAGTGTCCTCATCTGCACATACATCTAGTATAAGGACACCTCTAATGGTATGTCTT